GGGGAGAAAAGGGGTTGTTTGGGGGTAAGTAGAAAAGAGAGAATGTGTGGGGGGGGGGGTTTTAAAGGAATGTTTTTTTTTGTGTTTTAAAGGAAGGGGGAGCGAAAAAAGGGGGGGGGGGGGGGGGGGGTGCCTATGAATGGGAAGACCTTATAAGCGCCTGGCAGATTATGGAAGGGCATTTGCATGCAAGATGGCATCATTTATTACTTAGACCCCAATTCATTCGGTTTTTTCTTGTACTCAGATCTGGTAATCATAGCAAAGTTTTAAACAGTTATGACGTTAGGATCAAAAGGCTACGCGTATTCGCAAGTAAGCAAGAGAGAGTTTGTTCCTGTCAAACGTTCATAATTTTTGCTCTGTTATCCCAGCGAGGCAGGAGTTGACTGTAGTGGGAATTAGAGGGTGTCACACCCCTTGCCACGTACCTGTACCAATTCGTTAGCATCATCATGATGTACAATGACGCCAGGAAATAAATAAAGTGAAAAAAAGAATAGCTGTACGCCACGCCATCTTCTTCGTCGTTTATCAGCTGTTGTCCTTTCTCTTCATCATCTGGAGTGAAAATTAAAATACTGTATTATAAATACCGTAATGAAAAAATAATACAAAAAAAGACCTAACTTACCATGGCAACGGTGGAGGAGGATGCCATTTATTCCCTCGTGATCAGGAAAGGAAATCCTGGCATTGTTTCTAAATAGGCCATTTCCGATTTTCAAAACCTCTCACTTTCAAAACGCGGCTTGATGCAAAACATTTCTCGTGAAAATGATCATGAGTTTTATTTGCAAGAGAATAAAACATCCAACATCGCACTTAGCCTCGCTTTGAAACAGAGGCTTGGGGCAACTCGAGAATGGCCTCGGGCCTATTCTCCTTTAGTATCATTTTAGTATCGTGACAACCAGTTTTGTCAATTTGTAGTTTCTTTTCAAACTTTACTTCGAAAACTTGCAATTAGCGGTAATATTAGTGTTACAAGCTACCTACCTTTGGTGGAACTGCTTGAAGGCCCGGCTGGAGCCAGTTTATCAGCACTTCCAACAGTTCTTATGCTGGAAAAAAAACGTTCTAAGTTACAGGAGTAGTGACCGTGTCGTGTCGAACGTTAATTCAACTTAGCTAGCTTTCAGTTTGGAAAAAGTGGTGTGGCTCTCGGTCGAAAGTGACCGAGCAAGCATTTAGGATTGTATGGGGCCGATGGAACATACATGTGCAGATCTATGAAGTCTCTGAAGAAATTCCTTGTTAGAGCTGGCATTCTATCACTTAGAACCATCCACATGAACCCACACATTTCTGAAACCGCATATCATTTTTTTAATCCAGATTCGAATGGATGGGACCTTAACCAATCTAAAAACCCGTTTAAAAAAGATGCGGTTTCGGAGAGAATGATTCACCGTTACTAGAGACACTTATAATTTACACATTTAAAATTTTTATGAGTTTTTATTTTCAGAATATGGCCAACAGAAAATGGGAAGTTAACATCACAAATATTTTTGTTGGGAAAAAAGAGGTGAATGGTAATATGACTGACCTTGCATAAATGACGAGAATAAACATTACAAGGAGCCCGACAACCAAAGCAACTGTCTCTGAATTTTCAATTGTCCCCAAGGAAGATCCACAAATTTCTTCTCCTTGTGAATGAGGAATGACAATAATTTAAAGAAGTAACATTAAACAAACAAGCACACAATGGTGAAAACCGTTACATTAACTGTAATTAAAAATGTGAATTCAGAGGCGTTTATCAACTAAGGCTGTTTCCACTTGCGGGCAAGGAGAGGAAAATCCTGTGTTCTGATTTGCTACCCAAGAAGGCAATATGGGCCTCTTGTAGCCAATGCAAGTACATCCTGAGCTGGCTAGATCCTCAAGAAAAAGACCCATTATTAGACATTACATATTGGCCTTGTTCTTTTTTTTCCATTTTTATAGACTGCGACTTCATCTTGGTCAAGCAAAAATTGGGCAAAATCCAACCACCTTGACCTCACACTTGGTAAATAATGCATATACATGTATAAAGCTGTACCTTGATCTGTTGGCTGGTTGGAAAGAGCAGACAAGGTAAGATAACTTGCATACAAGGAGATAATGGACGCTTGAAGAAGACCAGACTTGGGTTGAGCTAGAAGAAAAAAAAAGAGCAAAAACTACGTGCCAGAACATCAAATTCCTGGGTTACAAGTACACCATACAACCTTTCATATGCATCAGGGTTTTCACTGAGAATTCAAGTAGCGGGAGGAAGGTGTAACGTTACATGGGAATATTTTGAAAGGGGCTTCACGTCTGAGTAAAAAATAGTCATAAGCTACCGAACATTTGCCGGAGAATTCTACATAATTAACACGGGAATTCTTTGATGACTCCCATGCCTAATGAACACCCTGATATCTGGCATTATGGTAGCTTTTGGGTGAATGAAAACCAAACCCAAGTGGAAAACACACAAAAAAACTAAAACTACGCTATAAGCAGAAGATCACCTTCTTGAATTTTAGGAAGAATTGAGATCACAGAGATGACAAAACACATGATGAGGTTAAAGCTGATGAGGAACTTGTTCAGGTGGCAGCCACTTGACTGAAAACACAACAACCACAATCGAT